ACAACATTGTTTAGAAATAAAAACGTTGTGGCCTACTAAAGTTTGCAGCCAGAATGAATGACTAGCTACTTTAAAGTCTTGCAGCAAACAGGAACGTAGACTTGCCCTTTCCAAAACTATGTGCTTACTTTCTGCATATCAGTGAATTTTTTTTTATTTTTGTCTCATCTGTCTGTAGCACCTTCTTCCAAATCTTTGCTGCTGTCTCCGTCTACATGACTTAAGCAAGACTTGGATTGTATGAAGGACTTAGGTTTTACAAGACTTCTTTTGTCTTTCTTTCTCCACTCTTACATGAAAAGTCTGAACTTGTGGAGTAGATGACTAATCGTTGCTCCCATGCCAAATTCTCTGCAAATCTTGAGGATTACTCCAGACTTAACGTTACCCATTTGCCGCGTCTCTTAGTAAAGCTTTTCTTCTTTTAGAATTTTGGTGAAAGATTGAACACAGCTCTGTTGTATCTCCAAAGCTTTGGATTTGTTTTATAACCTATTTGCTTTAAACTTCTCCAGAACTTCATTCTTCACCTCATTACTTTTTTTCTTAATCTTAATGTTTTTATCTTTTTGTAATGTTCTCCAACAAAGCTCTGAAGCTTTTAAATCACAGCTGTCTGTAAGCTAAAATTTAATTACATACAGGCTCATTTGGGTTATGTACTTTCGGAGGGCAGCTGATTGAAACTAAAATGAAACCAGGGGTGTCAGAGAGAGAGGGGCAAAAACAAAACACATCAGGCTTTTTTGAGCCTTATTTGAAATTTGTAACTATAATTTATGTTTCTTTTTACTTTAGATTGAAAACAAAAATCAGTGTGGCCTTTTTTTAACACCTTCTCACCAAGTAATATCAGCAGTGAAGATTTACATCTGTGTCACTCTTTGCTGCTGATATTACCTGAGTTTTACTTTTATTTATCTAGAATTTGTTTCTAGAATTTTGATGTTTTTGAATTAATTTTGAATTTGACCTGAGTAAATATGGCCGCCAGCATGTTGTTGGTTGTTTATCTGTGAGGTTGTGATGGAGCCCATACAGTGAATAGATCTATACATGTGGTTTAGATTATCTTTGGAGGTTTAATTAGAGTGCTGGAAAATAAAAACATGGAAGAAAAGGGAAGAGGTTAAAGTGTGGGGTGTGTTTTGGGATCTACTCTAATTGTCTTTGTCAACCTCCCGCCGTGGTGTCAGGTTTCATATTGGGTCTCGGCGGCAGCAGCATGGAGCAGTAGGGCCTCAGTAGCGTGGAGCTGGCGCACTTGAGTACACAACAGTATATGACACAAGCGCACACACCTACCTACAGCAGCGGCAAGAACGTAAACGACCGTAGAGTTGAGCCAGAGAGTGGCAAAAGGCCACCTCGTGTGTGTTCTGTGGGTCTTTGTTCTCTCTGTCAAAGACACTCAGAAAATCTGCTTCTTGCTTTGGGCCAGACCCGCAAACACAACATGTCACTGCTCTCCTAATTCAGGCCAGAATCACAACCATTACTTCCCCAAGTAGGGGAATTTTTCACAGTGTCAAATCAAAAGGAAACATACAGGCAGGGAATGTCGATGATGTTCTGACCGGCAAGTAAAACAAACCAACAACACTCTCTATATGGTTGTTTTCTCTTGTTTCTGGTAAAGTGCAGTAACATGTAAACATTGTGAAGTCAGCGTCACACCTGGGAGAAATAATCAGAGCATAGCAGAGTGTAAATAAAGCTAGTGTTGTTTATTGCTAATCCTGAGGAGCATCCTTACCATGCAAACTCCTTCCAAACACTCTTCATCTCCCCGCCTCTCTAAGTGTTGACACTAATAGACCCTGGAATGAAAAGTCTGTACCATTATGACCAAAGTATATCCCTGTGAAAAAAAATAAGAAAAACTAATGCAGAATTTCTTCCAGGCAAATAATATTCATGAGAAAAAAAATTGATCCCTGACATATATTTTCAAGGAGTAAATGTTAATAATGTTGTGACATGAATGCTGATATAGAAAGTAGATTTCTATGTTGAATATATGTTTTTTCATTCCTCAATACAGCCGCAAACAACTATTTGTAATGTGAAGCAACGGCATTGTAAATCCGTTCTCACCAGAGAGCAAAGTTGCTTCAACAATGTGTGTTTGCTTGATCTGCTGTTGTCTGTCTGTCTGTCTGTCTGGTCGGGCAGATGAGAGGCTTTATAGGAATCCAAAACAACTGCTGATTCTCATAAACAGAGAATCATTAACCTTGCTTTGTTTTTTTTTTTTTCATCCACACTTTTCTGAAGATGTGTTTGGATTAAAACATTTTGTTTCTTAGAGTTTTTACATATTTATCTTATCTTAATGAGGAGTTATTTACTTTAATTGGCACATTTGTAAAGATGTATGAAAGTATCAAAACCTTCTTAAAGTTTTGCTGTAGTTCCTGCTGCAGGTCTAAAACCCAGATTGGCTGATATACATTTTTTAACATACATTTAAAGTTGGCTGTATTTTCATGGTTGTTGAAATGCTGGAAGCTAAACCTCTGCCACAGTTGGGACTCTTTCAGCCTTCAACAGTTTCTCTTCAGTAAATGCCTTGTTTTTAAAGCCCGCCATCTTTCTGTTAACTCTAACCGTTTCTGTTGCTCTTGAAAAAACAAAGCAAAGAATCCCCACATCATGATGTTGCCATCACCATGCGTATCAGTTAGAATGCTGCAGTTTTCCATTTAAGCAAATCATTTAACAAGCAGGCAGCAATATTCAATATCGTTCTGGTCAGACCAGAGCATCTTCTGCTTTGTCCACCATGGTAAACTTCTTGTAGGATCTTGTAACTTTGTTTTACTCCACATTTCTTGCCACTCTCTCACATTGAGCTGTCACTGCAGCTCCTGCAGTAGTATTTGAAGTTGTCCAAGTCTCTAACTCATCTTCATGTTCCCTAACAAACCTCTGAGGCCTTAACAGGACATCTGTGTCGCTACTTGGATAAGATCACACCCAGGCAGAGTCGGTTTGTTGATAAGGGGAGCACAATAATAGGGTTCATGGTAGAAGGTAGTAAATTGAATGATCTAATATTAAGGCCATTGAAAGGTATTAAAAGGTAACAAACAGAATCTGACTGGTGACCGATTATCTAGCTGGCCTGTTTGACTACCTGGTTCAACTTGTTCCTGTCTCTGGTGAGGAGTTTCTCTAATGCTTTTAATGAGTGACCTATACACCATTAGCAAGGTGTTTACTGTCATTGAAGCTCCTTAGCTTCTTTAGGAGAAAGACGCTTTTTTAGCCTTTTTATACAAACAGATAATGGGTTGGAAGGTCATCTTGCTTCAGATTGTTCCAGGTATTTGAGCTTCACTGCCTCTCATGACATCAGGTCAAAACGAAGAGCCAGTACCAGCTCCTCCTGACTTTCATCTCATGGTTTTATTGATGTTAGGGAAACTGGGAAACTGTTGGTTTATGCACTGAAGGTAGGAGAGGCTCTCAGGATCCTTAAAGCCATTGACCAGAGCCGTCCATTATACATGATGGCAGATAAATGTTTGCCATGTACAGGGAAAACAGAGGTGGTGAAAAGACACAACCTTGTGGAACATCACTGTTTTCATCCTCTAGTCTGAAAAATGAAAAGTGTGACGAATGCACACCTAAATGTTTGGTGCTTATCTAGATGACACTGTACACTATCCAGAAGGCTGTAACTAACATCCTCTACCCCTCAGTTGGCACGGTAAGCAAACAGCATGGGGTCTACGGGTTGGGCTACATGTTTGTTTTAATCATCACCTGCTCTATGCATTTGCTAAATATTACAAAGCTATTGGTCTAAAATTATTTAGGACTTTTGGACGTTCTTTTTTTGGCAACAGAGAATTTTGATCCAATTCCCCAATTTTGTGGGATGAACGTGGCATTATGAAACCTCTCTACTATCTGCCTAAGTATGGGACACAGTTGTTTGGGACATTCCTTCAGAACCATGTCCTTCAATTGTGTTTTGGCCAACATTTTTATGCTCAGAAACTTTTAAAGTACACTATGTCAGCGCATTTAATTTGAATGTAATTCCTAGTTTAGGTTTTTAAGACCTCATAGTCTTCGATCTCACGTGTTACAGAGACGATGATGACATCAATGATGTGGCTTCCATGGCCGGAGTGAATCTGAACGAGGAGAGCGCCAGAATATTAGCAACCAATTCTGAGCTGGTGGGGACACAGATCCGGTCGTGTAAAGATGAGGCCTTCCTTCATCCTGGGCTGCTACACCGACGAATCCTGGAAACTGGTGAGACTTGTTCACATCACCCATCATGCAGCACAGAAACATCTTTATTAGAAATCCAGAGATCTGAATTATGTGGTCAGTCTTTGATGGCGATTAAAGTGAATTAAATTGAATTTACAGGTATAAAAATATGGTTTGAATAGTTCTTTGTTAATTGTCTTGGATGATGTCGCAGAAAAGGCAGAGTCAAAGTTTACGGTTTCTATGGATTGATTGAAAAAGACCTGAAAGCACCAAGGTTCCACTAATCCTAGTAAGTAATTTCTCTAAAGAAGACCGCTTGTTGTGTTCAGTTTTCCCAGATGATATATAAAACTGAATATCATCAGCATAAAGTTAATAGGAAAATTAGAAGTATTGTTTTAAAACCTTTAAAAACTGTTTTTTGACAAGAATTCATAGAATCAATATTTTGCATCCTATAACTGTACCTTGCGGTATCAAAACAGTAGGCTACTTGATTAAGACATAAAAAAATACTGAAACATTTTTTTATTTTTTTTATTTTAGGATCTTTATGCTCACAAACATCTGCAGTTTGCCGATGTGGTCTAGCTCTGGACCATTCCTAACCTATAAGTAACACAACAGAAGCTACTCTTTCCCTTAGAGTTGAGTTGGTTCTTTAAACTTAACCTCCAGCCAAAAAGTTTTTTTTTTTTTTAAACAGAGATACTGATTTTTTTTGGTAGCATGAGGTCAATCCATTATATTGTTTAACTTCTGCATTAAGGTTCATCATCTCCAGATGGAAACACCTACATGTTGAAGAGGGTGTGACTCATAAAAACAACCCAACAAGGATGTTTCAAAGTTACTATTTTATCCTTTCAAAAACTCTGGATTTATGTTTAATACTTTTAATATTTTCCTGTTTCTCTAGATCCAAATTAAGATATGTAAACTTTTTAAAATGTCCAAGGATTCAAATGGAGATATATAAAAGGCTGTAATGAGTGTTCCCAGTCTGGTAAAACTTTGCCTAGCATCTTTCTTCAGTGTAACGGATCAAAAAACACACAGCATAATTCCACGAGACGGGGAGCCTGGCGCCCTCATCTTGTTTCATCTCAATTAAAGTATCTTTGGGGGCCTGCAGGTCATGTTATGTTTCGTTACATGGTCTCTTGGCATGGTTGTTATCCCGTCACCTCTGGGTAGAGGGGTTGTTTTAAAATATAAATCTTTCCTCCGGGGAGAGCACAGCATGATATGGGGCAGGAGGCTAGGGTGCCCCCTGCTGGGGAAGTGGCACTTATGCAGCTTTGTTGTGTCAGTGATTGGTCTCTGTGCGCTCACAGCTGACAGAAGTCCAAGGGAGGCTCCTCCAGCCTGCCAGCTCTGTTCAATCAGAGAGGTGCTGCTGCTCCTCTCTACCATACAGCCCTTGTATACCATATTAACATCTTACTAAAACTTAAATAGTATTCTCTCCATTTTAAATCTATATTCTTTATTTACTAAGGTAAATGTTACCATAAGATGTTCTACCTTGTGTCCATGTTAATTTTTACACTTTACGGTGCCTCTTTGTGTTCTTTGTCCACTTTTTTACTTATTGCCTGTAAACAAATACTTGTTCCAGTCGTCCTTTGGCGAACGTCTGTCCACCTCCCCTCTTTAGTCTCCAGGCATGTCCACAACGTGGGAGGGGGCAGAGCACAGCTGGAGCTCTCTCGAAAAGAGACTCCTCAAAGTAACGATAGTCCCCTGCTACCTTACGGGTTCATGTACATTCTTGAGCAGCTGTAGTGGTGCTGGACAATATTTTCTGAAAGTACGGTATAAATAAGTTCTTCTTCTATGTGAAAAGAAGAAAAGAAGAACTATTTTTGTAACTTGTTACTAGACTTTTCCACTCACTTTAATCTAAAGTTAAGGATTTGCAAAGCGTCTTCACTGTGAATTGCTCTACACATAATCACAAACCCAAATAAAGATAAAATATGAATAAACGTGTGCCGTGTTCTTACCAGGATTATTTATGAGACCTTTTCTTTTTTCCTGTTTTCCTTTTTGCACATAAGTGTCACTCTTATTCCATCTCCAACTTGAGAGGTGATAATCATATTTCCCTTTATAATATAAGCTATCAGATTGACCTGCATTTTTTGATTAGAAGAAAAAAACTCTAATAAAACACTTTGGTACAGCTTGAAAGTCCACCCTTTAAAATATATTTGAAATCAAAAGTCTAAAGGGTTTACATAGTGGTTTTATCAGGTTTAAGTGTGAATAAGAAGGTAAATATGTTTAAAAATATCTGCAGCCATTGCACTTACTGTATTAAAATTCTGTATTTATTTAATTTAATATTTGGCCTAATTTAAAAGTTAATTTGTGTTCAGATAACACAGAGTACATGTCAGACTTAATAATATTACTTTAGCGATAGTTTCAAGGTGTTGCTTTATTGTATATCTCGTACCATGTCTTTCGGTTGTGCTGTTCTTTTTTCATCTCGTTACAGGTGATGAAGCAGACTGGAAATGTTTGTCATTATCTCCTTTCTATCTCTTCTTTCTTTCATCTTTTCTCTTTTTTTTTCCTTTTCTTGTTTTTCTGCTCTATTTACATTGCAGTGTCCATATAAACTGTAAAACTCCCTGCATAATTATAATAAAGCAATTTATATGCATGAAACAAGTGGAGCAATATGGCAATTGCCATACTGCCACACTTGTGAAAGTAAAATCTGTTGGGCTCTTTTTGGCATCAAGACAATTATTCTTATTGCCACATTGCCAGACAGGACACTGTAAAAAAAAAAAAAAGTTATTTTGTACAAGACGTTCAGTGTAACCAGCGATTGCGCTTAAATGTGCTGGACAGAACCATGGGAGAGGGAGTCAAAGGGCCGATATGCTCATTTGTTGTTTGAGTTATGTGAGATAGAGCTATAGCTTTATAAAGCCTGGAACAACACGCTAATCCAGACATTTTGAATTCAAAAAGCTTCCTTGTAGGGGAGCGAGACATCTTCCAACTTTGAAAAACAAAGTCCAGTGGCTACTTTTTTTTTTTTTACTTTTTTTTTTTTTTTTACATTTTTTGGAAAAATTAACCAAACTTTTTTGATTTTACAACTGTCAGAAATGAATACATATCCCACAAAACAAAAACTGTAGATTTCTAATAAGAACGTGCATGCCATAATAATCACTCTTTTTGCACTTTTTTTTCTCTTAACTAATTATGACACCCCACCTCCCCGGTATAATGTCTGTGTTTCATCTTTTTTTGGAGAGGCTGTACCGAAACTTTCCTGGGATCAATAAAGTATTTTTTTATTTGAGTGAATTGAATTCAAGTAATTTTAACCATTCAAACTACCACAGTAGAGCTACATTAGCCTCATCACATTGTCACATGTGCAGGTTTACTTGTGGTTAAACTTTAGGATATGCAGGCTGGAATTAAACTCAAACTTTTCCTATATTTGAGGCGACTACCCCCCCATTGAGCCTCATCGCCCAACACCCAAAGTATTACAGCTTTGATCATTAGTCTGGTTTTATTTCTAGGTGAAATATTATAATTAGCACCAGCTCCAGAAACTGTTATTGCTCACAGAAAATTCTCTCCTCTATCTATAGCAGAGTCTCCTAAATTTTTTCTGAAATATTAATGTCCCAGAAATATTGTGTTATTAGGGAGTGGAAGCCTGTTAGCACTTTACTGTGACCTCATGACATTGCCACATGTGTTGCTACTGCAATTATAACACTAAGAGGGCTACCTCCATCTATTTCAAAGCTTGAGCAGCTGAAGAGTGTATGTATTGTTCGGCTGATTTAAATAATTGGTGTGGTTTACTTAAAAGGGTGCCAGAGAGAAAATTATGTTAATGGAATAATTTAAAAGGAAGTTGGAAGCAGATAGTAACCCTACCAAAGTCTGTCCTCCTCTCTTTTGTTATGTCTTCAGATGAATTTTGCTGCGAGGAAACTAAATTATCCTTCTGCAGAAAGAGAAAGAGATGGTCAATGTTACACACTGGAAGGCGCTCAGCTAGTAAAACTGCTCTGGAAGGCTGGGAAACAAATGAACTTTCCTCTATCTGGGAGTAAATTACCCATAATAATCTTTGCAGTTCCTCCTGTGTGTTGATGCTACACAGCAGATGTGCATTTATGTGTATTTATTGCTTCTTTCTTGGTATGTTAACCTAATAAATGTGCTGCAGGAATATACAGATTTCTCTTTAAAATAGAACATGATTCGAGATGCTGCATGTTTGTCTTCTTCACAGCTAAAAAGTTTGGAGTGACGGAGGTTCCCATGGAAGCCGTGACTTTCATCTCACACGCCACGCAGTCACGACTCCGAACTGTAGTAGAAAAGGTTTCTATCATCGCACAGCATCGACTCGACTCATGTAAGGTAGGAAGGAATGATTTACAAATGTTTTCTTGCCTCTTCAAGTCTTTAAAATGGTCACAAAATCTGCTATATGTTATTATTATATATATATATATATATACACTCCCCGGCCACTTTATTAGGTACCCCATGCTAGTAACGGGTTGGACCCCCTTTTGCCTTCAGATCTGCCTCAATTCTTGGTGGCATAGATTCAACAAGGTGCTGGAAGCATTCCTCAGGGAGTTTGGTCCATATT